GACCGAAGACCCGCCCGCGCGCGCTGCGCCCCCGCCGGCGCCCCCGCCGGCGCCCCCGGCCCGGCGCGGCGCGGGGCGGGGCGGGGCGGCCCATCGCAATGCGGCAACACGTGGGCGCCATACGTTACCACTAGCGAGCTGCGCACCCCGCCCCGAGGACGCCGGCGTGATTCCAGCCCCGTTCATTCTCATCGACTTGCGCATATTCCTTCCCCGAAAACGTCGGCCTTTTCTCCCCAGCTGTGTATCCGCGCCGCCGCTGCCGATGGTCTTCCCTTCTTGGTTGTACGAATGACGTTCACACGCCTACAGGAAGTGTGCGATATTCTCAAAATCGGTTTCCGTGGTGCGGTAGGGCGACGCAATAGTGCTCGTACGGCAGCCTTGACGGCAGCAGAAGACACTCGCCCCGCCCAGCGCGCCGAGCTCGAGCGCCTGCCAGGCGAGAGGTAGGCAGCCACACGACAGGCGGGCTCCGCGGCGGCCTACCTCCCAGGCTGAAGCACGTCATCGGGCGGCGCGTGCAAGCGCACCCTTTGCGCTACGGCGCAGCAGCATAGCTGGACCAGGATACGGATACAGCTTATTCTTTGATTGAGGGGATGGAGTAGATTTGAGGAGAAGATGGCGCAGAATATGATCGGTTGATAGGAAAGTAGTGTTTGCGCGGGTACATTAGGGGGAAAAGTAGTAGGAGTGAAAGCGTTATGGAAAACCTTTAGTTTGACTTAATTTATTCTTTGAGTGGCATTGAGTTAAATACAGCTACATTAAGAAACATCTGACTCGATGGTGTAATTAGTCATCGCATAGTTCAGTTAGTTAAGACTGCAGCTGCGTTCTAGCTGCGTTCTTGGTCAAACCCCACGTCCTCAAGCTGAGCCTCGAGACGGTTATCACAGTAATCATACATAATTTGGTAGCGCCGCTGAAAGCTATCGTCACTGTTATCGCAGCTTTCGGTGTAGCGGTCTGCTTTTAACCGAGGGCGGACACTGAATTCGTTCAACACTCGCCCGAACACACGGCGCTCGCCAAACGCGTGATGGTCGTTTGCGTTCCAGGATTGGTCGTAAACCGCATAGTTGTAGTGGTAGTGGCCATGCAACTTTGAACCGGGGCAGTACAGGATCGTGTCCTCGGGAATCTCCTGCCCCGCCAAACACAGAGGGAGCTTCTGCAAGACCGACGCCATGCATGTCTCGTCGAGACAGCCCAACATTGCTGGTTCGTCCGAACGTATATTAAATACCAGCGACTGCCCCGTCATCGCGTCGATGACATTCTCCTTCTCTTCATCGGTGAGGACGTCATCGACGGCCATCCTAATCAACATCACGCCTCCATCCAAATAAAAGTCGTCGGATCCCTCCACATGAGGAACGCGGACCCTCAGGATGGTCGCCTCGCCGGCATCCTCAACTGCGTCGAGCCGATGCCGGATGTACTCCAATACTTCGCTTGCCTCAGCCACCGCCTTGCGAGCGTCAGCCAACTCCTTGTGAGCTTCAACCACGGCCCGCCTGCCCTCGCGCTTGGCGTCGCGCAACAAGAGCTGGTGGTGCTCTCCTCTGGCACACTCGTCACCCGGTTGCCTCCAGCACCGCGTGCACCAAGATGACCTAACAGCAAGAGCAGCCAAAGTCGTAAAATCCATAAGGTCGCGTTCTAACTGGATGCGTAGCAAAACGATCGCTTATCTTACTTATTCACAACGACGCTGCTAGTTCGTGCTGACTTCTGTGGAGGCCGAGAAGACACCGGCGAGGAGCACGGCGCAGATCGCTTTGGCGTAGGATCCATCCCTAAGTAGCGAAACACTAATAAGCGACACAAGCTTGCACATGTAAAAGTATTGCAACAAATCAGTTGGCGCCGTGAGGACCGCGCTACAGGCTGTCAGTCAGGCGTCAGGGAGATACCACGCCCCGGCCACCGGCCGTCTTCAGGGTTTCCCGTTCTGCTGTCTGTCCTCACCTGAAGAAGCACGAGGAGGTGCGCGATGGCGCGATGCGATCTGTACTCGAGCTGGACGCCGACTGGACTTTTGAGTCAAAAGCTGGTGCTGGTAAGACCCAGGCCCAGGGAAGCCACCGCTCGACTGGCAGAGGCCACCCTGGGTCTTTCCGGGTCGCCCAGGCCCAGGTAGGTGAGGTGGTCACTGGTCACACTCGCCCGCGTCGTCTCTCGGCGCCGGGGTCACTTGAGGTCGTCAACCTGACCCTTCCAAGCGAGGTGAAGGGGATGGAGATAGACCGTGCGAGCATATAAGGCACACCGTGATCCAAAGAGCACTGAACTGGACCTCAAAACCCAACACAGCAGCATCCCTGCCAAGAGAGGAACTGGAGACGAAGTGCAGCGCAGCGCCGCCCGCCGCCACCACCACACTCGAACCCCCGTGCCGATCTAGAGGGGAAAGAGGGAGGAGGAAGGGGGGGGGGTTCTTCTCGTAGAGACCGTCTTGGGGACTGTCTAAAAGGTAGCGCAGAGCACAACCGCTCGTACAAAACCAAAATACGGGAGGTCGACCGCCTGCCAGACGGAGGGAATAAGGCAGGCAGGTGCGCCCACGGCCCGCTGCAGCCTACCTCTCAGGCTGAAGCACGAGGTCCGCGCGCAGCCTCATATTCGTGAATATTAGAAAACCAAAGTAGCATAGTAAATGGCTAGGAGAGGTGGTAACAGTAACAACTCCGAATTTTGGTGTGGAGTACTCGTTTTACGCCTTTGTCCGCCGGTACGGAAAATTCTAACATTTTAGAGCACGTTTTGCCTTTTTACGGACTTTTTGGTATTACATTACGCATTGTTATGCATAATAATTGGATCAGGTGCACAAGCTATTACGATGGTTGTTACCCCCTTGTGTATAGGGTACATGGAGAAACCGGGAGAAACAATCACAACTGGTTAAAGCGAGATTTTTTATTTTAACTTGCCCTCGCTTTAAACTAATGATATTCACAAAATGAAAGAAAATTATTTGGAATTGGAAATACAAAAATAAAAGGGTTTGCACACAAAGATCACGAGGACACTAGCACCGATTAGCAACTATCGACAAACTGCACGTCATCGAGATTGACCACAACACAATCGTCATCAGAGCGTGGGTCGTCGTAACCGTACCATTTCGAAGCACGGAGACAGAAACCGTTTTTCACTCGACCGAAAACGCGGACTTCGCCACGCACGTGGTCTTTGCCTGCGCGCAGGGCTTTGTCGTACACCATCAAGTTCCAGTCCTCCGGGTCTTCATTCGGGTAGAGCAGGACCGTGCGCGCCGGCAGGTCCTCCCCGTCCCAACACAGAGGGAGCTTCTGCAGGACGGAGGCCATGCATGACAGGTCGAGATTTGCACGGACGGCCACTTCGTCCTCATCTTCCTCCTCGTTGATTGAGGCTGAAAATACCATCGCATGGTCCATGAAGGCATCGATGACGTCCTTTCTCTCTTCATCGGTGAGGGTGCCCTCGACGGCCATGATGATCATCATCAAACCCCCACCCAACTCGGCGTCATCCACCGACCCCTCCACACGAGGAACGTGGACCTGTAGAGCGATGGGTTCGCTGGCTGTCTCAACGGCCGCCTCGACGGCTCCGAGGCGTTCCTGGTGGTCCTTCCACGCCTTGTGGGCGTCGGCCACAGCCTTCCTGGCCTCGCGCTTGGCGTCTAGAAGGGTTAGAAGGCGGTGCTTGTCTCCGAAACATTTGTCAACGGGGAGCCTCCAACACTGCGTGCACCACAACGATCTAAAGACAAGAGGTGGCCACTGTCGTTAAATCCATGAGCACTGAGCACACACATGGCAGTTGGCATAGAATGAAATTACGACTTTCAGCTTACTTGTCAGCCCCACTGCTAGACCGTGCTGCCTTCTGCGGAGGCTGAGCGGAAGACAATGGCGCCGATGCTGCTCGCTTTTGCGTACGCTCCATCCTGACGAATCAGTGCACGACACGAACCTGAACAAATATCACTAGATTTTAGCATTTGAGTTGGCGTAGACAGGGACAGGGTCGGCTGGCCTCCAGGAAACAAAGCTCACCCCCAGGAACCGCAGTTGCCTACTTGACCCTTCCAAGCAAAGGTGGAGATATATCGTGCGAGCACCCCGAAGTCCTGGGCTGGGCAAAGCCTCCTGACCTACCATAACTAAAAAAGAACCCCCCAGATCTCACCCCCCCCCC